AATCTCCCTTGGTCAATGGAGCCCTTTACGAGGCAGAGGAGAAGAAGGGGCCTAGAGGGGAAGAGAGTCCTCGGACTTTCTCTCGATACCCGCTCCAATGTGACTCTCATTGCTCCATGTGATGATTGGCAATCGAATGCTCTCAGGTCTAGGAACCTATCATTCACGCGAACGTGCCCATCGTCATCGCCGTCGTGACCATCGTTCGTCCACTTCGTAATCGTAAGGCGGAACTGAGGGACATCATCACCCCCAAACTGCGTTCCTGACAGAGGGGAATGAATGGGGCCGTTGACGTTGAGCTGTTCGCCTGCTGACGCCCGCTGATGCCTGTTACGCTTGACAGCACTTTGGGCTGGTTGATTCCCATGTGAAGGTCCAATTAGGAAGGACATGATCATGTGTTCCTACGCATTGTCTACAGTCTCGGTGTCAGTGAGGTCATGATTATACGTAGTTCGAAGTAGACTCAGAGGGGGCATCGTCTGAATACTGACTCACCGCTGGACACATGTCAGACACCTCACTCATACATCCCCATTGTTTGACGACACATCCAAGGATTGGAGGGGGTTGTCATCGTATGCGTGGGGTGTTTTCAGTCTTCTCAGACACAGGCATCGACAGGTGTTACGGCAGAGAATTGCTTGAATTAATCTTGTTTATTTCGGAATTTCAAACAAAGCTACAGCTAATCACAGCGTTCTTTTGCGCAAGTGTGTGCCCATGGAAAAGAAACCTACACCTTCACCCGCTATTGCCAATGCTTTGATGATCCCAGAAAGGAGAAAAGAAACCAGACACTAGAGCCTCCGAGGAAAGAAATGAAAACGTACAAAACGACCGCCGAAGCCGAAGCCGCAACCCGATATCGCCTGATCATGTCGTGGAGCTCATTGTCGAATATACGCGTAATTATACCGTCATCAACAGACTGTGCTAGGAAACCCGAGATGTAAAAAAAAAAAAAAAATTGAGGCAAATAAGTGTAGTGTACCAACGAGAATCGCTTGTTGGTCGAGAGCTTCCATTCTGGGATACCAATGGCAAAAGCAGGTGTATAACGTAATAGAAAGAGTTCCGTCTTTCGCTGGTCCAAATATATCCGGTTGCAATGCAGTCGCAAAGCAGTAATGCTGCGCATCTCGGAGCATGGAAGGATCGCTGAGAGCTGCAAACCTAGTCACTCATCCCCGGACCCCAACGGAGGGGCCTAACAAACGTCTGCCGAAGGGGCATTCACTCACTCCTTTCTGGCAAGCTGTGATCGAGCTGTCCGCTGCTTATCTGCAGATCTTGAAACTCGCCCCAACGTATATGCTCTGCCTTCATTCGCACTCCTGTGGGGATGTTATAACGCAGTGGCTCTCCCATATCGTATCTCTGTCGACTTCTATGCACCCTCAAGTGGCTGCACAAAATTATAGTTGAAGTCCAAGAGGCCGTCTAGCATCCAATGCTGTGGGTCAAAGAAATCGTAATTGGTCTCGCCGTAGCTCATGCCGCTCAGCATGCTGTTGCTAGGTGGTTGACTTCCGATCCCGCCAGAGTTGCCAGGAGTAAGGGCTCCATTGGCAGCGAGCAGGCTGTTCGCTTGCAGTCCTTGGGTTGCCGGCATGAGAGTGCTGTCCAAATGGGTCGATGACGCTGAGGACTCGTTCGCTGAGTCTGGATTAGTAGGTTGTTTCATGGCTATTTCGGGTGGCACGTAGGTCAGTCATCACAGTCACACCGAAGAGAGACGTGGATGCAATGGCTCGAGCACTGGGTGGGGAGGGGATAGAGCTTTATAATTACCATCAATTGAACCTCTTCCTTGGGCTTGGTATTCTTCCCTCCATCGCCAGACAGAGTCGAATACAAGACTCATGCTATGGCGGCAGCGCACCTTGAGCTGTAAGGTGTCGTCAATGAGAAGTGGTGAATCGTCGTTGTCGTAGGAAGCCGTGCTGTTGTTATCGAGTCGAGCTCCGTTCCACATTTGCACCATTAGCTCTGCTAGACGCCACTGCAGGTCGTTGTTTACGACGCTCGTAGCACGAATGGCATTGATGGTCTGGTGGAAAAGATTGCGGCCACGATCGAAATCAATCGTTTTGGCAAAGAACGACCGCATGAGCTTGAGTAGGGCAAAACCCGCCGCGATCAACATCTGCTGGATGTAATTCGTCGCATAAAGCAGAATTGTTCCTGGGGAGTTCTGTCCGGGTGATGTGACCTTGTCGACCTCAAGAATGTTATCCAAGAAGCTTGTGGTAGCCCTCCAAAGACCCATCAGATCATCGATGTAGCCAGGTGTGGTACTCGAGTCAAAGAAGCCAGCTAGACGCAAATGGAGTGCTGCGGCTCGCATATGTAAGTTGACGATTGGCCCCAGATGCTGCGAAAGGACCGACGCCTGAAGTTCGTTAAAGTCCTTTCTGTAGACTCTCATCAACATGGCTCGATGTTCGTCACCGGCAACCCCGCGAGGATCACTAGCATTGCTGTACATTTCCTTGGACACTTTGTCGCAGAATCTTTCGACTTGGAGTCTAGCCTCCAATTCCGGCGTCAATCGGAAGGGGCCATCTTCGCCTCGTCGAACAGCCAAAGTCCAGTCGTACAGGGTCGATGCCGGCTGGCCGTAGCCAGTACCAATGGTCTGAGCCACAATATTGCAGACAGCCCATGTTGACACACGGTCATGCAGCTGCTCTTTGTTGAGGTCGACCGATACTCTGGAGAAGTCTTGACTGTGGTTTGGTCTATGTAGGCCAATGCCCGTCGCAACCTTCATCATAACACCACAAAGAATGTGCGTAGGATCGGCACTTGTCGTGCTTGTTGGTAGAGGCCAAGTGCATAGCAGACACAGAGCTTTGACGACGAAGTAGCTGCTGGGAACATCTCCAATGGTTGACCACAGCAATCTGGTCAGAGGTCCAGATATCGAGGTCAACAACGTAGTATCTGCGCTATATCGGCGAGCAGCGACCGAAATGATGGACCAAAACAAAAGGGCGTGTTGTTGGAAGTACTGGTCAGGCGTCTGTTGCGGGTTGAGGAAAGGCAAGAAAGGGTGGTAGTATGCGAAGAATTGGCTGAAGAGCTGATTGACTGACTCCTCGGTCAGGCGTACATTCTCCAGCTCGTGAGTGTAGCGTGGTAGGCTGTACGACCCTCCTCTCTTGAGGTGCAACAGCGAGGATACAGCCTCGTCGGAGCCCATTAGGGAAGGGTTTCTAGTGTGTGTGTACACGCTTGTCGCAACCGGGGACTGAAGGTCTTGTTCGTCCTCGTCGACGGTGTAACCCTGATTTTGGGCGCGTGCAATGTTGCGTCGCAACCTGTCGATTTCCTTCTCCATCTCGGCGTGCTTCGACCGCTTGCCTATGCGCTTGAAGTTGGACTCAATCTTACAGGAAAGCTTGAGGCGGTTACACCGTGAACAGCTCTGGAAAGGGTCTTGAACAACATCGCATCGCAACTATTCCAGAGGAAGCATGGTTAGTGGGGGTGACTCATGTCATGATTCTGGCCGGGGGGTTGACTCACTTTCTGTTGTCGACACTCGTTACATGCGCGCTTGACGCCGGGCTGGCGCTTTTTGGAATCAGGCTCGCCATTGTCATCGTCGTGACCGGCATTGCTGCCCGGACTGCTATCGAGGGCCATGCTGCTGTGCTTCCTCTTGGGAGGCCCATTGGGCGCATGACGGACGCTCATGGGACTTGTGGGCGAGACGGGCGTCGCCCCGCCGGCAGAGACGACGTCCATGCAGGGCACGGGGGACGGACAGTCGCGGTGAGACAAGACAAGACACGGCACAGGCGGGCGCGGGTGACCCCTCCCGGGCCGGGCGTGGCGTGAGGTGCGAACGGAGCTCGCAGGAAGAACTCGGCAATCGGAGATGTCCTGGACGGTGAGCGAGACTCGCTGGGGCGGCGGTCCGGTGTCGCGAGGTGCGTGTTGGAATTGTTGATGTGAGGTGGGAGCTGGCGCGGCCGAATGCGGAGGGCGGGGAAGAAGGTTGATTTTTGACCTGAGGAGCGAGGCAAGATTTGCAGTGGGAAGGTGGAAGGGGACCTCGTTGCGCCTGCCCAGCCGTTAGACTTTTGGAGGGGGACCAACGGGGGTGAATGGCTGAAAGGTGTCATCCCATTGGCTGGCTCGATCTGCAGTTTCCCCGCCCTTCACCTTCTGTGCTTCTGCAGCGGGCGGGGTGGGTGACAGAGTCTGTGAGAGTACTGAGCAATTCTGCCAGTTTACACATGACAACTTCCCAACCGGGAAAGGCGCATCGGGAACTCGGACCCGACTTGTACCGGTTCTTGTTTGTTCTTGCTCTTCCAATCTGCCCAGACCGTGCCCGGGCTGCTGTCAGAATAGTGCACAGACAGGCGGGATACTCCCCGGCACCCCAACTTCCAAGCCTCCGACCCAGGAGATAGCAATCTGAATTGACAGAGATAGCCAGAGTCGATATTGACGATAGCTGCTGGTCCGATATCGTCCTCTTTCTCTGCCTTTATCCACCCTCACTCGCCCTGCATCTGGGTACCTGTTCCCACGTTGTCCACTGCATTAATAGAGTAGCCAAGAGGAAGTCTCCATTGATGACAAGACAGAAAACCCAAAAGTGGAAATTCTAGGTGAAAATTGGGTCACCAAGCAGGTGAGCACCAGCCTAAGTGGCTGCTCTGAGGTCAAAAGGCGTGGGACTGTGACTAATCATATATGGTGGCCATGGGATGGGTAGGTGCAGTGTGCAGTTGCTGCTGCACACACGTTTGGCCCTTCCTCCCTGCCGTGGCCGTGGCAGAACTCAAGATTAACCTGCCGAAGAGTCTTAGAAGCTCATGATCAGACGAACACTCGTACCTGAGCAATTACGTGGAGAGACTGACTCGCGGATTTCCAGAAAATAAAAGTTGCTTTCCTTCTCAGTCGTCGTTCCCTTTCGTTAGTGCCCATCTTCAATATCGCCCATATCGCATCACCACCTACAAGTTGTAGCAATGCCCGAATCCGAAGCCAAGAAAGCGGCCAAACCGCCTCTGAAAGTCGAACTTGCACTACCCGCCGTATACCAGGGACACGGCTCTTACACTGAAAGCTCGAAAGGGGTCCGGGACGTCCAATTTGTGATGCCGGGATCACGGCCTAAGCAAGGTGAGCGAGGCTTTGTTTCTCGATGCCCATCGAGGCAACCAGATCGCAACTGATCATTCTTGCAGTCGATGTTCTCCAAGTAGACTCAACGGCTACATCGCAACCCTTCATTGACCCGGCTGTCTTTCAAAAATGGAGCGACAGGTCTTGATATCTACGTCGCTTCAAGTAGTACTATAGAAACTCAACCCCGATCTTATCGTATGCACTTTCGGGATTGCGACTGTCCATCACTGTCTTGGCAGAGATGCTTCATCCCGGATCCGAGCGCTAGGTGGCTGTTCCGGAACCTTTTTAGGCCCGGTAACAAAGCAGGTGCCTCTGCCCGCCGCCATCTGTCAAACTCGAGGCGCTCTAGCAAATAAAGTTGGGGAAATATGGGCACGCGTGCGCTCCGGTAACTGTGGCCGGCATCTCAAAACCCCAGAATTCCTCCCCGCGGCTCAATCTCGACCACTCTGGGATCCGATCCGGTGTCTGGTCTTAGGACCGTTCGGCTTGAGACCTGCTTGGCCATGATCCACTCTTCAAGGAAGACTGATGAACGTCGGAATTCACGTGGGGCCAAGTCCTCGGATTTGGAGTTGCAACAGTCCCACGTCCGGTCAGATCGATATTATCACACAGAGGTTCCGTCACAACTTTCATCCCAAATTTGGAATTCATCCAGCGACGGATAATTAGGATTGGATTTGCTGCATCGCCGTCACTGTTTTGAGCACGAAAGGATTCGCGACTGCACACAGGACGCTAAAGTCTCACATCTGAACAAAGTCCCAACTTCCAAAGTCCCAATTCTCAAGCACTTCCCGCGAACACCGTCAGCACAATGCGGGCTATCGGCCGGGGATGCTGCTCGACTGGGCGAGAAGTGTAGTATCCACCCTCCGGGTCCCTGCCCGGAACCGACCCACCATGCCCACTCCAGCTGGGGTGAAACGGGGGACATAAGCCAGCTTTACACGCAGATTTCAAAGCAATTGGTAGAATTGGTTTCGAAGGATCGAGGGTGAGCATTTCCCTAGTCAGGTCGTCTCAGAGTTTCTCCCCGCGTCCACTTTCCGCGTGCGGGGTTCCGGGCACTAGAGAGCGTGGCGTTGACCATCGGCATGTCGAAAAGGGCATGGGTTTGGAATTAACAAAGTGTTCCACGTAGGTCGGGTGGCTACCTTTCACAACAGTATAAGAATCCAATGCTCAGCTGAGTTTGGTTCAAATTTGCCTACCCTTGAACCTACCTGCGTTCTCCCATTGCCTCCACCTACCTTACCTCAGTTCCGATACCCCTTATCAAGAATCTCGGCTCGATTCTCATACTCTTTTCAAGCCATGTCGACGCAAACAAACGGTGACACCCCAGCTGGGGACTACACTGTTCCCTTCTTCCTGGATGGAGAAAAGGTCATCGCAAAAAAGACCTTTGACGTTGTATCACCCGCTACCGGAAAGGTCATTCACAAGTGTGGCAGCGCAACTGAGGAAGATGCCTTGGCCGCAGTTGATTCCGCAGCCAAAGCCTTCAAAAGCTGGAAGAAGACTACGCTCGGCCAACGTCAGGAGATCTTCCTCAAGGCTGCTGCTATCATGGAGTCTCGGAAAGAGGAACTGGCCCGCGTCATGTCTGAAGAGACGGGTGCTGCTGCAGGCTGGTCAGAGTTCATCTTGGGTCTAGGCATCGGCTGCCTCAAAGACGTCGGCGGACGCCTCCTCACCATCCAGGGCTCTCTCCCAACAACCAATGACCCGAACGTGAGCGCAATGGTCCTCAAGGAACCCTACGGGGTCGTCCTCGCTATTGCCCCTTGGTCAGTATATCAGCTATACTTGTAAGGGATTAAACAGCTAACACCTAATCAGGAACGCCCCGTACATCTTGGGAGCAAGGTCAATAGCATTCCCCATCGCCGCTGGCAACACTGCCATTCTCAAGGCCTCAGAATTCTCCCCTCGAACCCTGGTTGAGATGGTCTCTTGCTTCCACGAAGCCGGCTTGCCCAAGGGTGTTTTGAACGTCATTGTTCACGAGCCGGCCAACGCTGCTGCAATTACATCATCGCTCATCGCCCACCCTGAGGTCAAGAAGATCAACTTCACCGGCAGCACAGGCGTCGGCCGCATCATCGCAAAGCTGGCAGGTGAGAACCTGAAGCCAGTACTGTTGGAGCTGGGAGGCAAGGCCCCGGCCATCGTATGGGATGACGCCAACCTCGAGCTGGCCGCAGATCAGTGCGCAGTTGGCTCTTTCCTTCACGGAGGGCAAATCTGCATGAGCACTGAGCGCATCATTGTCCACAAGAAGATTAGCGAGCAGTTCCAGTCGAAGCTGTCGGCCTCGATCGAGAAGATCTTCCCGTCGCAATCCGATGCGCCTGTGCTCATCAACGCGGTGGCTGTTGAGAAGAACAAGAAGCTTGTCAAGGATGCCGTCAGCAAGGGCGCTGCCCTCGTTGCCGGCGACGTTGATGCTGAGCAGACGTCAAAGACAAGACTGCGGCCCATCGTCATCAAGAACGTCACAACCGACATGGACATCTACAAGACGGAGTCTTTCGGCCCTTCCGTAGCGCTCTTTGAGGTAGAGACCGAGGAGGAGGCGATCAAGCTCGCCAACGACACAGAGTACGGCCTGACATCTGCCGTCTTCACAGAGGATCTGCGGACAGGTCTCCGCTTCGCAAAGGAAATTGAGTCGGGCGCCGTCCACATCAACAACATGACGGTCCACGACGAGCCTGGCCTGCCCCACGGCGGAGTCAAGTCGAGCGGGTTTGGCAGGTTCGGCTCCTCTGGTCTGGACGAGTGGGTGAGGACCAAGACGATTACCTTCCGGAACTGAAGTTTGGTGGTGTGCTTTTCATAGCGTCTAGATACCTTGACCCTGTCTGAATGGAAAGAAGGGGCTTATTTCACGGCTCTATCTGGTTCCGATGCAAATGCTGTGTATCCATCAATGACTTATTGGTTTTCCTCGCATCTTACGGCACGATTGTATGACAACACTGTTACGAATAGAACCCACGTATCTCATAGACCAGACACTACTCCGTAATTCTCCCTGTCCCAAAAATCGATGAGGTGTCAATAGAGTGGTGTTGATCGTTATCAGCCAATGACGATCATGGGGAAGCAGTGCCACGTGAGTGCATAGTTCGACTTTGGCTACCTCGTTGCGTTACACGATCGGCGCACTCATATTTTGCCCCTCCACCCCTCCAGAATATTGGGCAGTTCAATTCCGCGGTCGATCATAGGTGGGAAGCCACGTCGGCAACGACTAGAGCCGCGACAACACATACGCGAAGTTTCGCTTGGCGCAGGTAGGTCAACATGGACATAGCTTTCAATGCCCCAATTGACTTTCAGCCACTGGCGGAAACTGAATTCTAGCATGCTGCATAAAGACGGGCGGCATATTGCTGACAGCAATACTTCAATCATTGGTCTGCCATCGCCAGTACGCCTCCTCCCCGCAATTGCAATTCTGGAGTCAGAGTTCGAGGGGAATTGCTTGCGGCTTCGTTGCCGTGGGTTCAGAAACGGAGATTTTGTCCTGCCGAAAAGTTCGCGACATGTCACAATGAATACGACGACTGCGCACCTTGATTCTTAACTCCCCGGGTGAGGTGTGTGCCTCTGAATAAATGTGGTCAGATGGAGTAGGACCCTATATCCCCTAACTCCCCTAATACCCATGTGATATTCAGAGAAAGCGCACGTTTCCAACGCAAAAAGTGCAGCTGGGGATGTGGGCCGAGTCTCTTCTCGTGGGCTTTGTGTTGAGATGCGCCGGCAGTCTGATACCCAAGTGTGTAAATGGGAGCAATGAAGACATACCTGATAGAAAGGTCAAAGTGCGAGTGATGAGACGATTGGGCTGAACAGCAGTCGTCCGTGCGGACCCTGTTAAGCTCCCGGTAGAATTGACGCTAAGCCCATTTGGTATGCAAGCTCTCGGGATCCTTGCATCACAAATTCGAGTCGCATCTCGAGAATCTTCAAGGCCGACTGACATCCTACTCCCGATTGTCAGCAAACCCGCACAATGCTTCCCGCACGGTCTCTCCGACCAGCCTTCCGTGCGGTACCGATCTTCTTCCGTAGCCCGGCAGCGGCACCGAGACCACAATGCCTCCAGAGACGATGGTACGCCGACAAGAAAGCCGTACCACCACCACTACCATCACCGGCCGCCGTCGCCGAAGATGACCTTCCCGACCACCGCAAGCTGGGTGTTCAGCAGGAGCTCTTCACCTCTTCCGTCTACAGCCCCGGTTCCCCGATATTCCTCCCGAACGGCACGCGAATCTTCAACCGACTGGTCGATTTCCTACGACGGCAGTACGTCCACTACGGCTTTGACGAGGTTATCACGCCAAATATCTACAAAAAGTCGCTGTGGGAAGTGTCGGGCCATTTACAAAACTATGCCGACGATATGTACACCGTCACCAGCCGCGCGCGCGCCCCCGAGGAGAAGACGAGTTGCTGCGGCGGTGCTCACGGAGACCAGCCTCACGAGGGAGCCAGCGGCGAGCAGGCCACCAGGCAAGCCGAGGGCGAGGACGATGACTACGGCCTCAAGCCCATGAATTGCCCGGGCCACTGCCTCATCTTCGCCTCAAAGAACCGCAGCTACCGCGATCTGCCCATCCGCTACGCCGACTTCAGCCCGCTGCACCGCAACGAGATCTCGGGCGCCCTCAGCGGCCTGACGCGCGTGCGCCGCTTCCACCAGGACGACGGCCACGTCTTTTGCCGCCCGATCCAGATCCAAGAAGAAGTCTTCAAGACGCTCGACTTCATGAAGACGGTCTACGGCGCGCTCGGGCTCGAGCAGTTCGACTTTGCCCTCTCGACCAGGCCCGCGGACCACTACATTGGCACCGACGCCGAGTGGTCGCGGGCCGAGTCGCAGCTGCGCCAGGCGCTGGAGCAGGCCGGGTTGAAGTACACCGTCAAGGAAGGCGACGGCGCCTTTTACGGCCCCAAGATTGACGTGATGCTGCACGACTCGCACGGCAAGTCGCACCAGGCCGGCACGATCCAGCTCGACTTCCAGCTGCCGCAGCGCTTCAACCTCGAGTACCAGGCGCCCGCTCCCGCGCTGGAGGCGCAGGGCCTGCCGCTGGACGGCGCCGACGTGTCGGCGGC